TGCACTGAACTGATAGGCTACCTGATAATGGGGAATAAATAGAATAAAAATAAAGTCTCCAATGCAAAGCAGAGTTAACACACTGTGAGAAAAAGTGAGAGACATGAGTAAGTCACTGCTTGCCTTTGTGCTGCTTTTCATGCCAAGGTATCTGAGCCTTTTATAAAGATACATTATCAAGCAGTAGATCAGGGGAGAGATCTGCTGAGACGACAATAAAAAGCAACATGCCAGAGTTGGGCATGTTCCTTTGAGAAAATTACTACAAATTGCTGAGCTGAACTGTTGTGCAGAAAAACAGCTTCCTTGTGGAGTGTGCAAAGTAAATCCAAAACACATGGATGAGGAAAAAACAGATGAACAGTAAGAAGTAGTAAAAATAAGGCATCCTGTATGTACTCTCTTAACCCAAGTCTTGGCTGAATTCTCATAAAGAAAATTTTAACAACATAATATACCTCTGCCTCTTCGTAGTTCAAGGCAGATGCACAACTGAACTGGATGCCCTGTGTCACAGCTCCCAGCTATACTGTATGACTTTGTGCTAGATTCARCATTTACTGAGCACCTTCCTCTTCAAGGAGCCCCAAGGATTTCAAAATGTGGGAAAACTATCGCATTAAATGGGTCAGTGTCAATTAAACACATGTGTAACTACAACACGTTTCTAATGAAGCAAGTACTGATCCAATTATCCAGAGTATGTGGCCAGTCATTTGCATGAAGCAGCAGCCTACCCTGTTTAAAAGCATTTCCTTTCACTCCCACTTGCTTCTAGGAAGGACAAGGGTTCTGCTCACCAACTCCCTGAAATGTCACACAATAGCGTGAAACATTTCCACATGTTTGAGTGCTTTGGAAAAAAAAATGGCTTCATGCAGAGCACAAACCCAGAACCGCTACATTTAAAGAGAGTCTTCAAAATCGTATTTATATGGCTTTTAGGCAACCACAGACTCTGCTTGACCATGACTGGAGCTCCTCCAAACCCTGCCTTGCTATGGAGAAGGCCTTTCCTTCTCAGCACTGTCCTCAACAGTTCAAAGATAGAAGAAACTTGGCTGAAGAAATTAAAATCTTTGTTCGGGATCCTCTGTCTTTCCCTGTCCTCCCTTTGGGGAGGTAACAGAGAGAAGTAGCCTTATTGCGACACTTTCCTGTGGGCAGTATGAGAAAGACACCCACGCCAACATCCAGCATGACTCAAACCCTACCACATGGCAAAGGGAGCAGGGCTGTGGGGGAGYGTGCAACGCCAACAACCCCAAAACGCCAATATCGTCCGAGTGGTGGGAGTTCTTAGAAAGATTATTGAAAATAGTGCTGGAAGACATCTCAAAGGATCCCCTAGCTCCTCCCCTCTGTCCCAAGCAGAATTCAAATATAGCCATGTCCTTCCTAGCAGATGTTTGCCTAAAAGCATGCAGAAGAGAGATTTTTACCCTTGTGAAAAGGGAGTCTGTTGTTGGGAGAGCTTGGATAGATCTAGCTTTGGTTTTGAATTCCCATCTCTATCCCAGTTTTATCCATAAACTCTTGATGCAGGAACAGGCTCTGCACTTTGCAGGGGACTGACTCTTTCAGAGCTTTGACTGGGGCAGCTGTGGATAAAGAGCTGGAAAGGCGAGAAAAAAATCATGCCTCCCCCTTCTCTATGGTCTCAGTCATTGGGCGGACCTGGAAGGCGATAGGTGTAAGTAAACTTCAGCTTTGTCCTTGCTACACCGGATTTCCTTGCTGTTTTCGGTGACTTAACATCAAGGGGATACTCATACTGTCTAAATATTGGCATTCAACCTACGTCCCTAAAATAGCAGCCCAGCTTCTCCATGGTTAATCGCGAGCGGCAGTTTCCTCTCAAGAGCGATTCAGAACACGTAAATTAGGAGCCCACGTTTCTCTGTTCAACTCTAGGTGAATGGTGTGAACAATTCATGGGCATCTTTCTTCCTCCTGCCCAGGAAAAGAAAGTAGTAAATGCCCTCTTCTGTACAGACCATCTACCCAGAGGTTTTGGGTTAATCACACTCTGGGTGCAGAGCTGCTGCAGGGTCCTGTGCGCAAGCTCCCGGGGCTAGACACGTGAAGAAGCGGAAGCAGCATCAGAAAGATAAACCACAAGATAAGGCCTAGAGGATATGAGAGCACCCAAAAGAAGAAACTTGCATGCAAAACACAGTTTTCAAAAAATAAATACTGCAGGTCAACATTGCACTGCAGAAAGCTATCTAACATTTTCTCCTGCAGAAAGTTCAGCTTGCTAATGAGTCACACGAAGGGTTCATTTAAAGAGATGCTATTAGAAAAATTAAGAACCAGGTAATATTTTAGAGAAGTTAATCAAAACAGTGAATTTGTATTCTATCAAAAATGGTTGTAAAACTTAAGAACATGAAAGAGGCATTCTTTCATGAAAGAGCTGTAGTATAAATCACTCCGCTTTGATGGGATTCCCCCCCTCCACGTGAGTTTGGCTTCTCAGCATTTAAGTGCAAGCATTAAGAGAAAGTACTGAATTCAAGGGAGTTCTAGCACTCCAGAAAACTCAAAGGATAGTGGTTTCCAATCCCCATCATTTCCAGGATGCCAGGAGCCTCTGGTGAAGGTTCGTAGCCTGCAGGAGACCTACGGCCCTGTCATCCCCAGCTAAGCAGCACCCTTCCCTCCTAGAGGACTGGGAAGCAATGGWTCTGATTGAAACTCTTTTCATTTTATTGCAACCAGCCTTTAGCTCCTGCACCCTTTCCTCAACACATCATCTACTATTTGGAAACAAGTGTTTGCCTGGTCCATTTTGTCTGTTTTTCTACAGATAAAAATTTGAAATTGACAAAAACACCGAAGTTGAAATTCACTAAAAGAGTTAAAAAAGAAAACTTAGAGCCAAATAATTTTTATGACATGCAAACTTGAGATTTTAGATTTTACTAGCCTTCACAAGTTTCATATGTCATAAACCACACAGGTGCAACTATYTCGCTTCACTATACCCATATGAACTTTGCTACGTTAAAGGCAACACAACTCCAATGAATACTTCCATGTTTATTATAAACCTCCATAAAGAAACTGTCCATATTTTCCCCATATGGAGGCACAGCTGTGCGGAGGCACATCTGCTTGGGAGCCTTTAACGTGGATCTTTGAATTTACAGTTCAGGATCCTTAAGTCTGTCTGCAGATTATGATAAAACTAGGAATACCAGTTCCTGACTCCAACTGAAAATATAAATCCCTCTCTGATGAATATTGATTACAGSAAGGAAATAAAGCATTTTTATTTTCCCATGTCACAAGAAACTCTTTTATTGCAATAAACATCCTGTTGGTAAGAATATCTTGGGAAGGTAAATGATACAAGTTTGTAAGCACGAGAAATCAGTAAATACTGACTAACCACGTAGCATCCACGTGGCTGCAACACACCGTGGTGGCTTACTTGTTTGTCAGATTCATAAACTATCAAGATTGCATATATTATATATCAAATATGATATGTATCATATAGCAAATGCGATCACTATTGATTATTATCCTGTGGTCTTTACTCCAATGCCCAGTCCATATGCACAAGTTCAGCCCTTCCAAAGTAAACAAACTCATTGATTTAGCTGTTTATGACTTGATTTTAAAAGGAGCTGAGCCTACAGGGGAACATGGTTGTTTAACAACCATGGTTTAACATGGTTGACATTAAGCACCGATCAACCAGTGAAATAAGTGGTATTGATCACATGCTTAAAATTAAGCACAGGCTGACATGTTTTCCTGGCTGAGCCTTGCCATAGCAAGTCATGATTGTGACAGCAGCACACGTAGGATGTGCCCTAATTTCACTTAATAAAAGGGAATTAGCAAACCAAAGCTGTGGTTGATGTGGACAGTCGCTGTAGTTTATTATGGACAATATCACAATAGCACCTTGCAACCCCGGCCAGAAGTGTGGCTTTACTTCCTGAATAGTACTAGCTGAAAACAGGAGGAAATGAGTGAAAAGAGTGCTGTGGCCCCAAATGAACACAGCTCAGCTACACAATCATTATTTTACATTAAACTTGCCGTGGTGAAGGTGGCCAACTTTGGTTACATCCATCGCTGCCAGTTTGCAGCCTCTTCACCCCTTGCAGTTGCTTCTGTAGCGGCCTCAAGCCCATTCCTGAGTTACCTCCTTCCAGAACTCACTCATCCCTTCTCCCTGGGGTTACAGAGCCAGTAAACAGGTCCCTCTCTGCATTTAGAGTGTCAAAGAGGCCACCAAAATGTTCTTTGAAATCCTCCCCACTGCTGCATAATTGAGTTGCCCTTCTCTGTCCTTATCGAGCCACAACTACAGCTTCTGCAGAGATTTCCTATTGCTGTCATATACCCAGACATCAGAAGGGAAGAAGGCCACGTTGCCACAGATGATGAGCAGAACCACGTGCAAGGGAGGACCCACCATCAGCAAGTTACCTGCCAACTAGGAGCAAGGCACCAAGTACCAAACKCTACACAGGTCAAATGCTCTGATCTAAACTTAAACAGGCTTAAAAACAGCAGTTCTGCTACTATCCACGAGAGAAACCTCTAACACAACCTGCTCTTTATTTTAAATCTCAGTTTGGACAGGATGCTGTGCAAGAGCCAAGCTGGAATGCAGAGCTTGATGCTCACACATTTTGAGCCTCACGAAAACTCCTAAGCGACACAGAGGGGTGTTTCCAGGACAAAATAGATGCAGCTGGAGCTCGGCACAGCTGGACAGCTTATGACAGGGGTCGCTCACAGGGTTCAACATCTAGCACAGAAAAGATGGCAAACATTCTGGCTGCCTTTCTCAACTCCCATAAGCTCCTCCAAGCCAAACTTGCAGAAATTCACCACCATTCAGCTAGAGATATCTAGGCCCTTTCACCAACATATCCAGGTGCTCTTATTCTCCCTCCTCAGCGTCCTTCCCCAAGGGAGATTTGCAAGAATCAAACCCATCCCCAGCTTCACAGCATTCCCCCGTGCCTTACCTGGACGACGGGATGGCCTCCAGTGGGCGCCTTGACCGCCCCGCGACTTCCCTCGGTCTCGTAGTGCGCGCGGTGATGGGGCTTYGGCTGCACCTCGATGCGCAGCTCGTAGGAGCCCGACTGGCTGGAGAGCGGCCACTCGAGCGGCGGCAGCGACTGCACGGGCAAGCTGGGGGGTGAGAGCACAGGGCGATGAACATGGCCTGGACTGCAGCTCTGCAAGCCCTGCTCTGCTCTGCTYCTCCTCCAAGCACCCCCTGCAGCTGCTCCCACTGAATCGGCCAGGTGCTCCCTGTTCACCTCAACAAGACCATGCTGTCCTAATCACCTTCGATTGCAAGCTTTGCTGAAATTCAGCATGGATAGGATGCTTTCTGAGGGCCTTTCTCCTCACAGAAGCTAGAGATGATCCTGATCTTCAACAGATGTGGCTATAGGTTATTTCAAGGAGTCCCTTCTCTTTTATTTAACTTCTCCTATGCATCTTAAACTTTGATCGTAGCTAATTTATATTATGAAATACTAGCTCCAGTCACCATTGCTTACCGGTTGCACAAATTAATACTTTCTTTAAAAAYGCTATTTTAAAACAAAATTTATGATTTCTATAAATAACAAGATGAATAAAATGCTGTATGTTCTTACCTTAGTTTTCCTGTTATCAAATGCACAAGAGTTTATCGCATGAAATTAACACATTATAAAGTACAAGAAGACCCTGCACTGGATGTTAACCAGGCATTACCTTCTTAGGATAATCTGAAGCTTCCCTAACAAACCATGGAAAGTCACGGCCCCCGTTCTTTGCTTGCAATTAGTGTTAACTAGGCCTGGAGCAGCGCGCCATAACCTCAGCGTGGGGAAAACCTTGCCGACGAGCGGGCTGACAGGATTCCAGTTGCAACTGGAAGTGGAGTCCCAAGCCTGGAAACCACCGTCCTGGCAGACGGGAGCCGAGCGGGCTCCAAACCTGCACGCTGCGCTCCGGGCGCCGCCAGCGCCAGCGTCAGACAATGGAGGGAGCCGAGGAGGGCAGTGCAAGTGACTGAGATTTTGGTTAAATGACAATTAACAAATTAACAACCAACAGTAAATCACTAGGGGTTGAATGAATATTCAGTTTGACTTGGAGCAGTGGCCTCTATTTTGAATCGGGAAATATTTACAGCGTTTCCATGCTGGAAGGAAATTTCTCAGCAATATATTCAGTGAGGTTAGAATAGCAATCAACCCACTTTGTTTAAAAGTATTGGGACAGACTGCAAGTGCCTGACCTTTGTCAAAGGCTGCCCGGAATTTGCTTTTTAGACAAATAATTTGGCAAACTGAGGTGAACTTGTTATATAYTGTGGTATCAATGAACAACTTTCATTATGTTTCTTTCAACCCCAAATTTATTTCAGAATCATTATGTATTGGGCTCACAATGCACCGTGGTACAACCACTGCCATCCCTGAACACTTAGTTTTGTTCTGCAGGAAGATCTGCCCAAGGAAACACTTCCTAAGAGTCACCACAGATGACAGAGGGTCTCACGAGATAAGAAAATACCAGGAATGTTACATACCTGCAGAGAGGTATTGCAGGCATCAGTTGCTTTGTCCAAGACGGAGGTACCAACAAAATCGACTCCGGGGCTGAGTTTCTCCTGTCCTCTTGCTCACAAGGCCCATGGAAGTCAACAGTCTGAAAGACGTGACACGGAATGCTGTTTTTGTGGGAGGGCATCGAGGAAGGATCAGGGCTGGTTTTCCAAATTTTTGTGGGAACGCCACAAGAAGGATCCGTAGGAAGGCTGTTCATAGCATCCATGGAAATAGGAGCGCTGGGCAACTGTGTGTAAGTAACTGAAGAGCTGTCTTCTCTCAAAGGGATGCGAGGAGAGGATTGGGGAGAGGGGGTCCTTGACTGTCGAGGAGAAGTGGAAGGCAGCTGAGTATTGTAGAGCTCAGTGCAAGAGTACCTCCTTTTTGCACCTGGTGATGAAGACCTTGAGTTGGGACGGGGTGATGGTGAATGATGTCCCAAGCAGGTTTCCTCCGTGATGCTTGTTCGTGGTGACATTATTGGAGAGGTTCTAGGAGAATAATGAGTATGGATGTTTTGAAACTGTGGACAAAGGTCATCACTAGGACCATTATTTGGTGAAACACATGGTGATGTGTAAGGAGAGAAATTTGTCTCTGAAATGAAACTTGCAGATGAGCCGCTACTAGCTGGGCTCAGACACAGTGGTTCTCTGTAGCCCTCAAAGCCAGGGACAGGCAAGGTAACCCTGGGGCTAGTGGTAGCTGAGTTTGACTGATGTTCTACCAAAAGATCTGTGTCTCTGCCGCGGAAGGGACCCCCTGAATGAATCAGTTCATGATATGGAGTAATTTCAATCCTAGGGCTCGGAGCAGAGGCCCCTGCAGCGTTTGCAGGGTGCGCAGGTGTTGTCCCTATGCTATCTGGCTGTCCATATCTGCCCATGGGATCTGCAGAAAGGCTAGAAAAAGCCAGGGGGCATGGCTTGAGGCCACAGTCCAAGACATCATGAGCGTATGTAACTCCAGAGGGTGGGCTGTTGGTTTTATGTGGAGTCGGTTCTTCTGGAAAAAGAAGGGTCTCTTTAAGACTATAAATATTACTACAGAAGCTGAGCAATCATGGATTAAAAAAATGCATATTTATAAACTAGATGTGATCTAGCAAGAGGTAAATATTAGATTCGCTAAATTATTTGTAACTACAATTAATGCTCATGAAAAGTACTGGGTTAACAGCCAGGGAAGCTCAAGGGCTCGGAGCAGATGCAGTGTGGACCACAGCAGTGCAAACTTCTCCACACTGCCCTGTCCTCCTGCTGCCCGAGGCCTGACCTAGAGGGGTCACCTGCAAGCACGAGAAGACACTTGGGCTTCTCTGCCCGTTTAATTGCTGGCCTCTCTGCCGATCCTGCCAAAGATACTGTTAGCACCGATACGGGTGGTGAGATTTTGGTCAGCTTTTGTCAACAAGGAGCTGGGCTGAGAACATCACAGCACTAAACCGGTTCCAGACAGGATTACATAAAACTGAAAGGTTGGGAAGCAGGTTTTGGTGAAGGGAAAACAAACAAAACCAAAAGAAAACTAAACAAAAAACTCACTTATACAGCAAACTCCAGCCAAGAAAAAAGTCTGTTGTGTGTGACAATTTGTATGGCTCCATACCATGTCAACAAGTGCCGGTAACAAGACTCACATAAGGAAGCATCAGACGATCAGAAAATACAATCCCAAATATTTGTTAGAAAAGGAGGAGATAGAAAGGATCAGCTCTAAGCTCGCAGGCAACAACTTTCCAATTCCAGCTCAAACAACACGGTGGCCGAACGGGGATTATAACATTCAGCACAACTAGTAAGCACTCGGAGCACTCAGTCCTGGTGCACAAAAACCCCTCCCAGTTTCCGCGATTCCTGGGCCCAGTCCTCAGCTCGTCCCACCACCCCACRAGAGTGGTGGGTGGCCGGGCCAAGGTCACCCCAAACGGCCTGGGACGGTCTCACATTACAGCACATCAGCTGCCATGGACTCCCTAGCTGGGGGGCTCAACAGTTCTGGTCATTATGCAAAAACATACAAAATAAAGTCAGGATTTCATATATTTTTTTAAGATTTCAGTGCTTTTGGTGGAAAATGTTTGAAACAGCTCCACAGCCTGAGGTTAATTTGCACTGTCTGTTCACTCTCAGGCAAAGATCAGTATGTGTCAGAGGCAAAGAGTGTTTCTTTCAAATATTCAAATAACTTTTCCAGCGTTTTCTCCAACTCCTACACTACATGAGATAGCATTTCTCATGAACAACATTACACATAAAGCCTGGTAGGAGCTGACTGTGCTTCTGGCAAAAGCAATGAGAAGCTGTAGCAAAACTTTTATGCATAGAAAGATGGTGGTTACATTCAGGGGGTTTCTGTTAGTTTTCAGGTTTTAATTCTTCAYGTGAAAGCAAAATCTTCCACTGATGGCAATGAGAATATGAAAAAGTTCAAAGTCTCTCTACTTATTGATGTTTCCCCCTCAAAAATGATGACCTTTCCCAGGCAAAAGAAGATGAAGAAAGAAGACAGAGTTTGGACAAGTGCCACTTTCTGCTCCGAATATTTTGCACAACCTGTAGAAAACTGCATGTAAGTGTGGTGGGAATGGCCGGCCATCGCGAGCACCTGTGGCCAGCCGAGCAAACCAGCACGCAGAAGGCTCCGTGACGGGCAGCACACCGACCTCTTGAATTCCCTCTTGAATCTCCCTTTTCACCCCAGCACAAAGCTGCTTTAGGGGCCGGGGGAGCAGCAACAGGAGTAACCAAATGTGAGGAGAGTGGTTATTTTTTTGCATCGCTGATATCAGAGCTTTGGCATTCGCGGAAGCAACTGCCACTCGCGTCCCTCAGCCTCTGATGCTGTGATTGTCCGACACTGAYGCTATGATTCACTGCAGCCAGAGCACATCCCTCCCCGGGGCCGTGCGGAGCTGCCTGCTCAGYTCACGGAGCATCCGCGGCGCAAGGCTCGAGCGGTGCCGGAGAGCCGGGCGCATCCAGTGCCGCGGGSTCCCGCCCGTGCAGGGCTCCCGTAATCGCAGAAAGGCTCTGCACATCGGGCGATTTCACATCAAGGAACGGGCGGCYGTTTCGCTTCCCCATTCCCCCGCCTCCAGCAGGAACTGCACGTGGCCGGCCTTGCGGCGATGCCATCACTGGCGCACACACACAACAGACGTATCTGAGGGACAAGGCAGCTCTGCAGGCCTTGCGGATATCCCTGCTTTTTGCCAGGAACAAACTGAGTTTACTTAAATTATTCTTTGCTCTGCGCTGAAACAGYTTGTGTTTAAACAAGCACTTTCGCCCTCGCTCCGTACCCGCCTCACGTCCCGGGCGTCCGCAGCAAGGGCGACCTGGGGCACGAGCTCCCCTTCCCGCAGCTCCACAGACCGTGCACGGCCGCACCGCTCACCCGCCGCCAGCGCAGAGGCGACGGGCCGGACACCGCACAGCTCCCGCAGCCCTTCGTGGAGCAGAACCACGCGGCTTCCCCGCCGAGGAGACCTCCCAAAGCAGGAGCAGGGGAACGTGCAGCGGCTCTGCACGAGAAACCTCCGCTTGTGCCCAGAGCGTGCGGGAAGCGCGATGAGCAGAGGGCAACGGAGGCCTCCCCTCCTTCGCACCTCTTCCCAGCGCCTTTGGATCGGGAACTGACAGCCTGAGAGCTGTCCCGCAAAGGACCGTCCTGGGGGCTGTTTCTGTGCCTGCTGCTGGAGCAGCCTCTGGAGCACCTGGAGCACCATGTCCAGGGAAAGAGATGCACATCCCTCCAGATGCACGTTTCCATGGGGGGGGGGGGGGGGGGGGGGGAATGTTTGGAAGGCCTTTAAAAAGCTATTGATTAAAAATGCACACATACACAAAGCCCTTCCTCCTTCCCACACACCTCTGAAACACGACGAGAGGAAAACCCACTGCAAACCCTGGCCTTGAGAGACTTCCCTGCACAGGCACCCGCAGGGACCCTCCCCTCCTCTTTAAACAAGGCTGTAACTTCAAAGCTGCTCAGTCGCCAAATGTGACCTTGCCAATTAGCACGTAATTAGGGCATAAGAGATCACCAGAGCAACGGCGAGTTTATACAAACCAGCATCTAAGAGAAGCTAAAGATAGATCCTGGAGGCCAGCGGAGCCAAGGAGCGCAGGGCACAAGTTTGGTTGTGGCTACAGCACAACTCCTGTAACTTCACTGGAGCTACTGGTTTGCATTGTAATTTCAAGCGGCCAGTCTGGATTCTTCTTTTTTTTTTTTTTTTTTTTTTTTTTTTTTTTTTTTTTTTTTTTTTTTTTTTTTTTTTAAAAGCTCTGTATTCTCTTATTTACACTAGCTGCTTGGAAGCTTAAAGTGAAAGTCGGCTTCCTGAGTGAAATCGGGTATTCTCTATTACATGTGCATATTTGTTTCTTGACTGTAGGGATGAACACTGCGCCCTGTGTTACTGAGCCAGTTGCCAGGACTGAGCTGCTAGTGTTTTTCTTTTTTTCTTCCTTTTAATAGCTTTGTATTAGAGAGAGAAAGAGAAAAAAAAAAGGAATAAGACAAAAAAAATCTATAGATATAGGGTTTGAAGCCAGAGAAGTTATAACCTGACTGGGCAGTTCATTACCTATAACCACTTTCTGTCAATCTTTGAGGAAAAAAGAAAGGATTCAATACCTTTCAAGTTTGAAACAGGATAAAATTTGGGATACCACTGACAATATCTCCACATGTGTCTGTCCAGGGAATTAATCCAAAATATTTTTTTAAAGCATAGAAAACATCTTCATGGAATAACTGCAATCCCAAACGCAGCCTAACAGATACCTGGCCTGCCAAGCTGCTGCTGCCTGTTCACCTGGACACGTCTCCAAGTTCAGCCTGCTAAAAGCAGATGTTTCTGGTTTGAAAATGCTGAGAGGAAGATAGCTAATAAAAGTCTGGCAAGCAAAGTTAGAAGTAAAAAGCACATGGAAAATGGCACTTTGTACAACACTCTGGCTTATGGAAATGGCTGGCTTAAAGAGGAATATCTAATACTAATAATATTGACTGTAGGATTTTTATTTACCCTTTTTTCCCCTGTTGCTTTTATAGCAGTCCATGTTCCTGTTGTCTCAGGCACACACAAGCACTGGTGAGTGCCAACCGCTTGCAGTAAGGATATTTCTGGTATTTCCATGGCAACAAGTTGCGATATAGACCCTACTTTTAAAACACGAGCTTAAATAGAAACTCTCAAATCAGAGCCTTTAAAAAAACATTTTTATCAAAGATCAACTTGCCTCCTCATTTACCTGTACAGACTGAAATGTAGGGTTTTTTTTYCYTWRRAAAMMAMMAMMAMMAAAAAAAAGAGAACCCCTTTTAGCGTGTTTATGGAGATTTGTTATTATAGGACCTGGTGAATGGTGGGTGGAGCAGCCCAGACTGAGGAAATCGGAGCCTCTTCCAGCAGGTCTTTGAGGGGAGGGACAGGAGCGGAGCCCTGGGCTGCCCAGACTCCCCTACGGTTTCGGTTCCGTGTTGAATCCCCCTCAGAAAAGGCCTCGTGTTCCCTGTCAGTTCAGACGAGGCCAGGAGCTCAGCGTGTGCATCAAGTGCCCTCTCAAAACCTGACATTTTCTGTTCTCGTGTAAACACGCTTTAATCTTCTGTGCATTAAAGGTCACGGATGTACACTGGATTGCTTACAGACTCGAGCTGGTGTCTTTTCAAAGCGGGTGACAATGTTCTCCAGATTAACCATGCTGGTATATAGGGTTGTGATCTTTTCGTATCCTAATGATTTCCATCTTTGGAATGAACAAAATTACTGCTAATTACGGTTACCAGTCATTCAAATGGGGCGAAAGCAGCTTAAGAAGGAAGTTACTTCTGCTACAAGCACACACTGCTCTGCACTTGTGCGGTTGAGAAAATTTAACTTTCTACCCCCCACCTACGTACTATTATAGTTTGTGGGACTTCCCACTTAAGGCTTCACAGCAGTCGTCTCTACTGTAAAGCCATAAAGAAAAGCAGCATCTGAAGCTTTC